ACCTTCCAGGCAGGAATGAAAGAAGAGAGAGGACAGTACAATGCAGCCCCATGTACCCACAACACAGCCCCCAAACAACTGTCAACATACGCCAATCCTGTCTTATCTACTGCTCCAAACCGGCTGGATTACTGCAAAGCGAAACCCTTGTCATTTCATTTGTAAATACTTCAGCATGTATCTCTAAGAGCTCATGACTCTTAAAAAAAATAAATAACGACAACGCCACCATTATGACACCCCCAAGATTAACAATTCGTTCACATAAAATTTCTTGTCAGTGTTCAGAATACCCCGGTTGTCTCATAAATGCCTTTTACATTTGGTTTGTTTGGATCAGGGACTATAAAATATTGAGAAGACTTCTCCCCACTCACCCATGGAATTTATGATTTAAATGGAGAGCCTGCTGTTAGTCACCGAACTAATTGCTGCAGCTACTGCACTGGGGACTTTGGGCAGCTGGCAAAACATCCTACTTTCAAGCAAATCCCGAAGAGGAAGTCCATAGAGGCTTCTGAAACATAAGGCCCGTGAAATTGGGCCAAAGGAAACAACCCGAAAAGAACAATGAAATGATTTATTGTCTGGCTTAAAAGCAAGTCTTGGAGCCCTGTTAGTTGACTTGAATGAAACAGCAGGTTTCCACCTAGGAAGACTCACAACTCCGAGAGTGTCTGTCCATGGCTGCAGTCCCAGTGCCCAGCACAGAGGCCGACACTCAGTTCATGTGTATTTTCTTTGCCCCCCGCCCCCATTTTCAATGAGGACAACAGGAAAGTTGCATCCGGTTCAGTTAGATTTCAGTTAATGAAACCCAAATTAACGCTCTTTGACACAATTTGGTTCAGCTTTCCCAGAGTAAATCATTGGTAATGGCCATTACTAAAATGAACCCTGGCAAAACTATAATTAAAGCCATACTTTACAAGTGAGAGGCAATCGGCAAACAGTGGGAACAGCCAACCCCGACCCTGAGTAGGTTGGCTTTTTCTGGCATGCTTCTCGCCAGCACACCACCAAAGCAGTTCCAAACCAAATAGGGGAAGGAGGCCTTCCTTGGCTCCCTGGGGTCTGAAAGCAGCCAAGGCAACCCGTCCATCCCCCAAAGCCCTCATTTCAGGGGTGGATCACAAAGGCCACCCCTCATTAACTAGAGTGCAGGCAGAGTGAGGCTTACTGTTCCTTGCTGGTTTTGAAATGGCTTGAGGCACTACTGGCAGGTGTCTGCAATTGCAAGAGAAATCCTTCTGTGACCCGCACACAGTTGCAGGTGCTGTGTCTCAGTGGTTGCTGGCCCCTTGACCCTTGGTTGGGGGTGCCCAGTGCATGGACGGTATACACATATCAAAATATTTCAGCCTTCCCGTGCAGCCCAGGACATAGGCTGTTGCAGTGTTCTGTAGGTTTCTCTTCCCCTAGGTAGTAGACAAAGAAGAACTGAGCATTTGTATTACATTTTCATACTATTCAAAGTGTTTTTCCGTATGGTACCTCATTTTCACATTACAGCAGTCCCGTGAGGTAGAGGAGGAAGGGCTAATCTTCAGTTGACAAGATGAACAAATGGAGGAGTGGGGAATTTAAGAGACTTGCCAAGGCTCACATAGCGGGGAACAAGAATGCAAAACTCCTAGTTCCTGGTATAAACTGCCATTCACATGAGTGTGTGTGTGTAGGTGTGGATGTATTCACTCTGAGGAAGTGACTGTACAAACATACTCAGCATATGCTTTTAACTGTCCCTCCCCAATATCTTTATTTAATGAGATAAATGTGTTCAGGTAAAAAATAACCAGGGGCTTAGGTCCACAGGCAAGGAGTTCTCAGGGACACTGTGGCATGAAGGAAAGCGTAGTCTTGATCAAGCAGCCAAGGGATTCAGGCGCTGCGCCTCTTGGTTGTGACTCTTTCTCTGTGACCTCAGGCAAGTCCGTTGGCCTCACCGTGTTTCTCAGCCTCCTCATATGTCAAACTTGGTCACAAGGATGAAGTTTAAATGGGAGAAAGTTCAAAGTGCAGTGTGAACACAAACCAATAATGGATTTTTCCATAGTTCAGGTTTTCAGGTGACTGTGGTCGGACCCTAGTGCAGAGCCCAGTTACTGCCCCCAGACACTTCTCCAACAGATCTTGCCCCAGGGGTACCAGGTAGTGGACTGGGACTCTCTGAAGGTAAAACCTCTACCTCCTCTGCTTTCCCTGTGGGGCGAGGCACTCAGTGGCTGAGAGCCTGGCGCACTGTGCCGTGGCCTGAGGCCACCTGAGATTTGCAAGGTGTCTGGGTGGGGGGCACTAGTCAGGACCTAGTAATTAAGAAGAGAGAAGTATTCTTGTGGCTGTTGATAATTGTTTTGCTAGCTAATGCCACTGTGGTCGCCACTCAGAGGTGTGTGGGTGAATGAGAGAGAAAGCATGTTCCCAGAAGCCAGTGCAATAAGGACTTAAGACCATCTAACACAGCTATATTCTAATTTATCCATTAGTCATCAAGACATTTTCTTCTAATCTTTTTTTTTTTTTGACATTAATCCATCCATTCATTAACCCAACTTCTGTTTTCATTTTCAGTTTGGGCTTCCTGTAGACGCCCTTTTCCTGTGCAACAGAGTTGGGCTTCCCTGTCTCTAATTCCCCCTTAACACGTCTGTGGGCACAGAACCCGTGCCCTCCCCTTTCTTCCTGCCAAGGTTTATAGAAGCCCGAGAGTCTGAGGACGGCGTCTGGCCTCTGGTCAAGAAGCCATCAGTCACGTGGTTTAAAGATGCATCCTGCATCCCAGTGCCCCTCCCAGCGCCCCCAGCCGGCCACTCCCCACTCCATCTTTGCTGGACTGTAACATGTTCAGGGGTCCCACCTGCTCTTCTATACCACCAGCTTCCCTGTTGCAACTCTGGCTGCTGCTTGTTCCCCTGAGGTATTTGCATCCACCATGGCTGGGTGAGCACCAATCAGCACGGCTTTCCCCATTAGTCCGCAGTCACTTGGCTTCCCCAACCATCCCTCAGCCCCCAACAGAAGAGCCGCAGCCTCTTCTCAGAGGGTTCCAGAAGGAGAATCCTTTGGTGCCTTTTCCTTCTGGCCTGTCAGCCCAGCCCTTTCCAGTTTTGATTCACTCAAAATAATTGCACTCAAGCTGTGTTAAAAACCTGGAACGAGTTTACTTACAGCCAGCCCTTCCCAGACAACACGACTGCTGAAGAAAGTAGCATAAATTTCTGCTCTCTGTTATTCTGAGTACCCCACAGGTGCAGAAGGCAGATTAAACCTGAATATTAGTACCAGCCTAGTGTCTTATGGAATTATTATGAGGTGTCTCAGCATCTCCTCTGTAATTTCCCTTGGGACGCCACACCATCCCAATAAGGCAGGGCCAGTAGCAGGTATAATCATCCCCTGTCACAAACTGCTAAACTGAGTGGTCAAAGGATCAGTGTTTTCAGTTTTGCTCTGATGAATCTTCCAGTCTATTTAGTGAATGTGATGATGAGTTTCAATCTGTATATTGCGCGTGCCCCACAATAAGAAGAGGTGAGACTATCAGTTGGAGAGGAGAAAAGAGGTGTGCCTTGGAAGGTCCTTAACTTTGTCCCCAGTCTAAGGATTTGGTATTTTAAAAATCTTCCAGCCCTGATTTGTATGATGGGGCCCATCCGATAGTGGCTTTGGGAGCCCCTTTGAAGTTGAGAGCCCTCCATTGTCAGGGCCATGAGGCACAGTGGCCTTTGGTGTTTGGCCAGTGAGAGAGTGAGAGCTGGAGTGACCTGGCAACGATCTGTGGCTAACACGCCGTTTCTCTGCCCTTCCTTTGCAGTAATCCATGGCTGTGTACTGAATAGTATTCCCCGCTACAGCTGGACTGGACTCCATTTAGCCTTTTAAGCCAAGGTTCCTATTGTAACTGACAGCTTTCCTTTGGAGCACCAGGCAGCTGGGTCCCCTGCCCCTGCCATGTACCTCCACTTCAAGCCCCACCTCTTCTTTTGATTTCTGCCTCACAGTCCCACTGGCACTGACCATGACCTTCTTTTTTATTTTTGAGGGTTGTTTTTTTTTTTTTTTTGGTTTTTTTTTTTCTTTTTTTTTTTGGTCACTTTCTTTCAAAACACACAAACAAGGCTATGTGAAAATTTCAGGCCTTTTTGAAGTATTGAGAATGGGAAGGGGAGTTCTCTCTTCAATAATAGATAATGACAGGAAGCAAAAAGCAGAAAAAACAAACAAATGCACACACTTTATCTTTTCTTGTTGGCAAAGCAAGAGTGCAGTTTTGACATGTATTGTTTGGTGAGTCACCGATTGGTGAGTGGCCAGAAGCAAGTATGAAGGTGGTGCTGCGAAAGCATAAGCTAGTTTCTTGAGAAAATCCAAGTCACACAGTGGAGCATTTTAGACCCTGTGCTCGGAGATTTAAAAAACAAAAAAGCTTGGGTACTCAGCCAGTAGCTCAGGGAGATGCTAAGCTAGGGCTGTCAGGTCTCCTTGGGAAAGGCTGCTTATTTGCAGCTTTGATGTTTCTGTGACCAGTTTCACGGCTGCTTCCCAAGAATCCCAAACTTAAACAACTAATCGGTCTCCATCCGCTGTAATTATTTGCATCACAAATCGGAGGCTCCCTCATTTGCATTTGTTTACAGATTAACTACTTGAGGCTTGAGGAGCTCTGACAACTTCAAAAGGTATTAGAGCCACCCAGCCTTTGAGAGACCTTCAGAGACTAGGCAGGAATTTTGTATGAAGGGAGACATTTTGGTCCAGAAGACAGACAGGACCCACTTTCTTGTAAGAGGAAATTGAGGCCCCGAGAAATGAAGGGACTTGCCAGACGCCCCAGTCCTGTTTCATGGCAGAAGCCAGGCTAAATTCAGTGTGTCCTGAGTCCCGAGCCATTTTACAAATGGACTCAGTGTGTTCATGTATGTTCCTAGAGACAAGTCTTTTGATGTTCCAGAGAAAATGAATAGTTAGTATTAGAGGGCCTTTGAGGTTTTTTTTTTTTTTTTTTTTTTTTTTTTTTTTTTTTTTATTACAGAATATTGAGTAGAGTTCCCTGTGCTATACAATAGGTCCTTGTCGATTATCTATATTATATATAGTAGTATGTATATGTTAATCCCAAACTCCTATATGTATATGTCTAATCTTATGCCAGTACTACACGGTCTTGATTACTGCAGCTGTAATACTAAATTTCGAAATCTCCTTGAACTTTGTTCTTTTTCAGGATTGTTATGGGTATCTGGGTCTCTTGTAATTCCATATGAATTTTAGTATCAGTTTGTTAATTTCTACAAAAAAAGCAGGCTAGGATTTTGATAGGGACTGTGTTGAATGTGGGATCCTCCCGGACCGGGGCACGAAGCTGCGTCCCCTGCATCAGTAGGCGGACTCCCAAGCACTGCGCCACCAGGGAAGCCCGCCTTTGAGGTTTTTATCCCGTAAGAAAATACTCGAGGATGGGGTGGGTAGGGACAGGCAAAGCAGAGGACTCTAGGCCAGCTCCTGAACTGAGCACTTCCGCTGACGATAAGAGTCACAGGCACCTGTTAGCTGCTCAGCTTTCCTGGGAGTCTGGAATGGGGCGTGCGGATGCGGATGTGGATGTTTAACAGGTGCCCTAGATGATCCTTGTCATCAAGGAAGTTTGGTAAAAATCTACCCTGTGAGTGAACACGAGACCTTTAGGAAGTCAACCAAGGCTATTAAAAGAATTAAAATGCTTATTTTATTGGGTAGCTTGTCTCACTGTAGACAGAAGGGTTTTCTTCCTTCTTCCGTGAAAAGACGTTTTAAGTGGTACAGTTATTGTTATTTTTAAAAATACCCTAAGTACTCTGTTTACTTCTGGTGAAACAAAACCAGCCGTTAGAAATGGTCTGTGTCCGGCTCCACGCGCACCCCAACCGAGACTGGGATGGAATGGTTTTCTTGAAAAATCTCCACGTGTACACACACACACCGCTCATGTCTCTTCAGCCAAGAAGTTTGCTTTTCCTAGCTGCAGTACAGATCACTTTGTTGTTTATGTTTTTTGTTTTAATTATTTGGCATTCACATGTGGCTGTTAATATGTGCTCTCTCTCTCTCTCTCTCTCTGTTTTAATTAAAACAAGAAGCTTTTAACTGGTGTGTGGTGTTCTTCAAACCTTCTCAGCACATTTCCCTGTGGTCTTGGTCCATCAGTGGCCCCATTTCTCACCTGTCTTCTCCAAGTGTACCCTGTGCTACCTCACACTGCCCACTTCCCTCATCCTGTCTTACTTTGAATATCCTTTTTCTGTAGCTAATTTCATGTTTTCTTTCTTTCTCTCTCCCTCTCCAGCTTCTTTTAATCTTGTCTTCAGCAGCGGCACTAAGTCTAAAGGAGAAGACTGCCATTATAGAAGAGTTAGGGTTCCATATTGTCTCAAATCAGAAACCAACCAATTCCCTCTCCCGCCAAAGTGCGTGCGCATGCGCAGGCACACACACACACACACACACACACACACACACACACACACACACACACACACCACACAAGTGTTCATTGTGTCCCTGTGTCCAGGCAAGACGCTCTCTCCCGACTTACATGGTATTTTAAATGGAAGTGTCTTGTCCTAACCTAACAAGGCAGGAGAGGAACCATCCGAGCTGGAGAATGGACCAAATGTAGCCTCAGAGAGACAACTGCAGGACGACTCACCCACGTGTAAGTGGCTGCGGCAGGAGACCTCAGCTGTGGGTGTGGAAGTAGTGCCCACAAGTTTTCGTTTGAGTTTTTCTGTTTTTCTTTTTAAATGCCAGTTCTCCGGCTCAATGGGTTGACTGTCTGCGGCCACTCTTAAACATTTCTGAATATGGACGAGAAAGTCAAGCGACATTCATATCTTCTTCAGCATTCACAGACCTGCAGACCCCCCAGCAAGTGGGGGAAGTGGATCTACTAACTCTCAGGTGGAGAAGGGAGAGTCGGGGGAGTTTAAGCTTAGTGAGAGCAAAATGACTCCATTCAACCTTCCAAGGCCAGTTGGGGTTTTGAGAGAAGTTTCTGCTCAACTTGGGATCTGGAGGGAGAGCTTTGATGTTGAAAAATCTGCCTTGAATTCATTGGTTTAACTTGCATCAAAATACCATGTGAGTGTGCTCATTCCCATATATCCCTACAACCATTGCCATTCCACTGTCCTGTGTCTCTTGAGAGAGCCTCTTTGCATGTTTTCCAGAGTCTGTTTTTCCTTTCTTCTCCTTTGTTCTTTTTGCTCAGAGATGTGACCAGTCGTTGGCCCTCTGGGGCTTTCATTCGCCAAGAGAAACATCCCGAAACCAGCATTGTTTAGCTTGATACCTTTCTAATGTCCATGCCAATTTTCAATAAAATTCAAAGAAATGCTCAACGGCTGTGTGATCATTAGGTGATGGGCCCACCGCGGTTTGCCTTAGGAGGAGTGGGTGGCTTCCTTTCAAAGGGGGTGACCGAGGAGCTCAGGGAGGCACCATCAGCCAGTTTGCAACCTTCCTGGGTAGGCTGCTGGGCCTACTCCCCCCACCTGGGCTTGAAATTTCCGTGGGGTGAGGTGGAGGTGAGCAGGAAGTCCTTTACTTTTCCTTCATTAGCATGGACTTAACTGATCCGTTGAGCTCATTATCTTCCAGGATAATAAATAGATGGAGAAAGTGGAGTTGCCAAACCCTACAGAATAAGATTCGGGTGAGTTTTAATTCCAGAAGGAAAAGAACTCTGCGCTGCATGTCTCCTCTTATTTAATACTGTGATGTGAGCATCCCTAAAATTCATGGATATGACTTGGAAAGCCTTCTATGGATAGGGTCTCCTAGGGAGGGAATCCTCCTCTTGTCCCTGCCAGCATTAAAGCGGGCAAGAGGGAGAGTGGTCAGTTTTCATAATTCTGGTCGCCGTCGAGGTGGGGTTTCCTTTCCTCAGCTTCATTTCCCGAATGGCCAGATGCTGGAGACCGGAGAGTGGTCGATACCCTCTTCGAACCGAGGCCTGGAGGCCTCTGAGGGGGTACCGGGGGGAACGACACTGGCCTGCGTCTGCGCAGCTCGCACACTAGGGGCAGCCGAGCGGGAACAACACTTGCCTGTGACGTCACCGAGCCCCGGCAGGCACTGAGGTGTGGAAAAATACCGGCTCTGGAGCCAGACAGGCTTGCCAGCTGTGTATGCTCTGGGGCAAGTTGTGGTCAAAACTTCCCTGTAAAAGAAGAATATCAGTAACTCCGTTGCAGAGTGATTGCGAAGGTTCCATGAGCTAATGTAAATTAAAGATCTGGGTGTTCACTAAACGGAGTCCTTGTTAAGGATGGAGTTTCCCCTTTACTAGAAGTATGTTAGGTTCTTCCAATCCTCGGTTTCTCAACCTCAGCACTATAGTCTTTTGAGGCCAGACAATTCTTTGCTGTGGAGGCTGTCCTGTGCACTGTAACATCCCTACCCACTAGATGTCAGTAGCACACTGTACCATCCCATCCCCAGCTGTGACAACCAAAACTGTCTCCAGATAACGCTAAATGTCCCCTGGAGGGCAAAATCACCCCAAACTGAGAACCATTGCTCTAGGGCAGGGGCCAACAAACTTCTTCTGTAAAGGGCCAGCTGGTAACTATCTTTAGCTTTGCAGACCACGTGGCCTCTGCAACTATTGAGCTGTTAACTATAGAACAAAACCAGCCATTGATGATATGTAAAAGGATGAACGTGACTGTGTGCCAATAAAAGTTCATTTGCGGACACTGAAATTTGAATTTCACGTGTGGGTTTCATTTTCACATGTTCTGAATTATTATTATTTTGATTTTTTCCAACCATTTAAAACGTAAAGACCACTCTGAGCATGAGGGTCACAGAAATGCAGGCAGGTGGACGGGATTTGGCCTGTGGCCCACGGTTTGCTGACCCCACCTCTAATGCATTTTGGTGCTTGTTGATGCTTCATCGAGCCTAAAGGTGTTAGAAGTGACTGGCTGGGGACTTCCCTGGTGGTGCAGTGGTTAAGACTCCACCTGCCAATGCAGGGGACATGGGTTGGAGCCCTGGTCTGGGAAGATCCCACATGCCACGGAGCAACTAAGCCTGTGTGCCACAACCACTGAGCCTGCGCTTTAGAGCCCGTGCTCTAGAGCCCGCGAGCCACAACTACTGAGCCCTCATGCCACAACTATTGAAGCCCACGCGCCTAGAGCCTGTGCTCTGCGACAAGAGAAGCCACCGCAATAAGAAGCCCACGCACCGCAATGAAGAGTAGCCCCCCGCTCGCTGCAACTAGAGAAAGCCCGCGCACAGCAACGAAAACCCAACACAGCCAAAAATAAATAAAATAAATTTATTTAAAAAAAAAGTGACAGGCTGGTCAAAAGAAATCAGAAATGAAGACAAATGGCTGATGTTTTAATGCAAGTTAGTGGGGAAATGGGTTTGATTAACTAAAATTTGCATATAGTTTTGCTAGAGCATAGATGGGGGCAAGGGTCTGCTGGGGCTCTGAGAGCCAGTTGCTGGGGCCCTGCTGAGCAGTGAGAAGGCCAACTACTTCTAGGGACAGAACCAGGCCGCTAATACCCTCAAAAAGCCTGAGCAAACTGGGCTCCAGTTGTAAGCACTGAGGTCAAGCAGTGTCCTTTTTGTGTTCAAAATGCCCCCGCTCGGGGAGATTCATCCCTTTGCTAAAAGGACAGTTTTCTTGCAAGGCCATTCTTTTAAAATGAGGGCACCTCTTGAAAGACTTCTGCATTAGAACAGTTAATACCTCACGTTGGCTTTGCCACCTGGACCTACTACCTTCCGTCAATGTCCGGCCAGGTCCTGTACTATCTCTTAGCTTGTTTGGCTTGGACTTTAGAAAGTCCCTGCCCTCAGCTCAATACCTATAAAAATTATATATATATATTTGTTATGTATAGGATTGGGGTCAAACTTCTTATCTTGGTTTTAGGCTCAATGAAATTATTTTTTCTTAATCAAATGATAAGGGTGTATTGGACACCACCCGTGGATTTGGTCCAGTGCCCTCTGCTATGGGGGATACTTTGCATGAGATCAGTTAGACACTGCTCTTGAGGAACTTACAGACTGACCCTATCTTATCTACTCAACCATACTTTCCAATACTTCCTAATAGCCGTTTCCATTCCAGTCCATTCAGTCTCTGCACAGGCCTCTCCCTGAGTTATGCAAACTATTTGTTGACTTTATCTGAAATATCCTCTACTGATTAAATCCTGCCTTTGAGGCTCAGGCCTGCCTTCTCCTTGAAGCCCTTCTTGACCCCATTCACCTATCTTGATCTCTTCTTCTTTTTCTAACCTCCTGGCTGAAATTTTCTAATCTTCTCTGCTTCTAGTTTGAGGGACTTCATTCCTCAAGAGAGGTTAAGCTTCCTAAGGGTAGGAACATCATTTCATAGCCCCCCAGAGGGCCAGGAGAGTGCTGGACACACAATAAAAAGTGATTAAGAGGTAGCTAGATTGAGATTCTTCACCTATTGCACTTCTGAAACATCTAAATTTGAAATTAAGCTACAAGAATAATACCAAGTATACCCACATTCTCTTAACCCAGATGCACCAACTGATAATATTTTGCCCCATTTGCTTTATCATTTATACTCAGGCTCTCTCTGTATCTAGAGAGATAGAGACACATAATATTTTTTTCTGAACCATTTGAAGGTAATTTACATGTATCATGGCCCTTTACCCCTAAATATTCCAGTGTGTATTTCCTAAAAATAAGGATATTCTCTTACATAGCCACAGTCACCAACTTCAGTAAATTTAATACTGTTACACTGCTTTAATCTATTGAATAGTATACTTTACAGCAATTTTTCTTGCCATATAAGATTGGCTCTAGGATCGCCCATTGTGTCCTGTTTCTTTAGTCTCCTTTAATCTGAAACAGCCTTTCTTTGTCTTTCCGTGACATTGATATTTTTGAAGTCCCATTTAAAAAATAAACTGTTCTCATTTTGGGTCAAGGTGTTGCCCAGTCTCTGCACTATATAATCACTGTTTTTTCCCCTTCTTTGCTACTAGTAGACAATCTGTGAGGAGAAAGTATAAGTCCATGCAAATATCCTATTCCTCACCAAACATTTCCCCCTAGATTTAGCATCTATTGGTAATTCTTGCCTGAACCAATCTACAAAATGATGATTTTCCAACTCCAGCATTCCCTTCATATTTACCAGTCAGCACATGGTATTCTATTGTAAGCAAAGGCCCTCCCTTCTCTCTCATTATTTCTTTATCTACTTGGTATCACTGTGGACTTATGACTCCCTATTTTTTCAGTGGCTCATAACTGTCCTTAATAATTTTTTTTTTTTTTTTTTTTTTTTTTCGCTGCACGTTTTAAATTGATACAGTTAATACAGAATTATTTGAAATAGTGATCACTACTGTGTAAACACGATGCTTGTCAACAATTGGGATGCAGTATGGATGATAAAAGTGGTTGACTAGAGAAGTGGCGGCTGTGGATGATTTTCTAAGTATTTCGTTTTTAGTACCACTTCACAGTAAAATACAAAAGCTAATCCTCTGAAGAAAAGGCGCCTCGGAGAGCTGACGTTTAAAAAATAAAAAGGGTAAATTACATTTCAAACCCAAGTCCCTTCCAAAGTACACGGTCCCACTGTCAGAAACCCAGGGAAAAGCATCAGGCGAGCTACTGCTGCCAAGAATCACCTGTGGGAGCCTTCCAGGGACTTAACGGAAAAAGGTTCCCAAGCCTCAGAGAACCTTCCAAAAATCCCCTTCCTGGAGCCCCGCCCCCCGCTTGTTATCACAGTGCGTCAAAGGCCCGTAGTCGTCAGGAAAGGGAAAAAAAAGTACGTCGCGCGAGACTCAGTGACGGGATTTCGAAGTTAGGGAACAGCCGCGGCGCAAGCGCACTGGCTTCACAACCTCGGGGCTGCACGCGGGTAGGTAGACTAGAGGAAGGGGAGCAAAGCGTGCTGGTGTCTTTTTTTTTTTTTTCCTTCCTTCCCAGTACAGTGCGTGAGTCTGCGGGTAGCCGGAGGTGCGGAGCGCGGGGCCTGGCTCGGCCTCCCGGGCGCGCGTGTGACTGCGGCGGGTGCCCTCCTCCTGCACCTCCACGAGTTGGAGGAGTGCAACGGGCGTGCTCCCGGGTTGCCGGCACGCGAGCTGGTGCTCGCCTTTTCAGCGGTCGCCCGTCACGCACACACTCCAGTCCCCTGAGAGTTGGTCTTCGCGCCTCGGCGCGCCCCTCCTCACCCGGCCCCTCCCACCGACCCCCGTTCCCGCTCTCTCCTGGTAGCGAGTCGGCTTCATCCCTGGGGTCCCTGCTTGGGGGCGGAGAAGATGGCTGGCGGACGTCTGCTGTTGGGGGGCGACTTCCTGTCGCCGCC